GTGTGTATGAATACCGAGTAAGATATTGGAGTGCGTGTGTAGAGACGTTTATTCAATATTGTTTTGATACCATTTGTTTTCCACTTCTTCTAAATTCAAGGTGTTGTTTCAATATCTGTGTAACTCTGGGTGTGTTTTATTGTTTGAGTGGTTTACTGTTGTTCCCTTCATTGGGTTGTGTTTGATTGCTGTTGTGGTGTGTATTCTCTCTTTCACTCTCACTCTCTTTCTGTGTTGCTGTGTGCTGTCTGCCTTGTGTGTTAAATGTGCGTCTCTTTTCTCCTTCTCTTCTTCCTTGTTACCACAGATCCAAACAACCCACAGTGACAATCATGACAACGGTGTTCGTCCATTTGCGCCGGGTGGTGTATCTGTTTGTTTTTATCCAGTGCTGTGTGTGTGCGGTTCATGCGGGGAGTGGTGCGGCGGCACCGGAAGAGAGGGGCGTGGTTAATTGTTCGGGTGGAAGAATCCCAGAAGAACTAAACAGTCTCGCGGAAGTGAGCAAAGAATATGCACCGTTTATAACGCAGGCGAAACATCCGTTGGAGGAGGCAGAGAAATGTTTGTTAACATGGCGGTATGACGTGGTTGTGTGTAACAGAAGTATCACTCATATTGCAGACGTCGTGAATACCACTGTCCATATTCTTTATGGTGTTAAGAAGAGCACCAACCGTGATGAGAAGAATCTGAGAGAGGAGCAGGGTCGTTGGGTGGGTCTTCTATCTCGGGTTAAGGGAGTGGAATTGCCGGACCCACAGCCGATAGAGTGCGGTGACCCAAGAGTCAAGGAATTTATGGATAATATTAATAAGACGGTTGGGGAATTCAATGGTAATGTCACAGAGGTGGCAGGTCTGGTTGAGAATGCGCGTGCCAGTCGGTACTTATGTGGGCCATACCGTCAGGGATTGGACGTTGAGTTGGCGAAGTGGAAGGGCGTCGGGGTCGACTGGATATTGAACACTTCGAAAAAGGACGAAAACGTGGTTTGCATGAATGAAACAACGAGGGAAAGTGTCGCAAAGGTCGTTACGACATACGATAAGATCGTTGCCGCCTTGGATGACATCAGTAATGCCAGTGCTGGAACGCAAGTCTGTAGGGTGAATGCCGGAGTGAGTTGGGGTGAAGATCTGAAAAAGATGTTGGGGGAGATAAATGGCATTTGTCACGAGACACTTGGGGAAAGGACGCTGCCAGATGTAAAAAAGGAAGCTGAGCCGGAAAAAAACCTGAGAGAGGTTATGACAACTGTGACGAGAACCAAACCCGACACTTTAAAAAATAAACCTGAAACGGAGTACAAAACGCGAGTCAACGCAGGGTACATCGACAAGTTTAATGAGAGGAAGGAGGAAGCAAAGCGGTGGAAGGTTGAAGAGGATAGGAGGAGAGTTGAAGAAGAAGAGGCAAGAAAACTGGAGGAGGCGAAGAGAGTTGCAGAAGAGAGGGCAAGAAAAGAGGAGGAAGAAAAGAAAAGGGCTGCTGAAGAAATGGCAAGAAGGGCCAGCGAAGAGAAAAGAGCTGCAGAAGAAATGGCAAGAAAAGCGGAGGAGGCGAGGGAAGCCACAGAAAAGGCGAAACAGGCGGCACAAAGAGCCAAGGAAGAAGAGGCGAAACGGGCAGCAGTAAAAGCTAAGAAGAAGGATGGATGCAACAGTCCTGCATTTTTGCTCAGTCCCTTATTGTTTCTTGTTCTTTTGTGTGTGCTAGGCAGCACTCTCGTTTGCTGATCGGTGTTCCCATGACAAGGTTGCACAGTTAACCTTTGTTTGAGTGGATGTGGATGCATTGTAAGGGCACTGTACTTTTTTATTGAATTTTACTGTTTCTTTTTTCTCCATCCAGCACGATAAATCTCTTGCTTGCACTTTTTTGCTGAACAATTATATTGGACTCCCTATGACACTCATCACATGACAAACCATCATTTTGTAAGGGGAGTGTCCTCTTTCTTTGTTGGCATTATTATCTGGGCATTGCTTTGCCGCCGTTCACTGTGGTCTCCTAGTGATGTGTGTGTGTGTGTGTTCCGTGATATTAATAACTATTGCTTTTACCCATAGGAATGCGATACAATCCCAATGTGTTTTAATTGCTGTGAGTGAAATGTGAAGAATAACAGGAGGTTCAGGACACACAAACACGCACACCACCAACCCTCCTTCTCTCTTTGTGTGTGTGTGTGGACTGTCATCATGTGTGCATCATTCCCACTGCTCGCCCTGTACGAAAGACACACACCTACTGCTGGGGATTGTGTTGCTTGCCTCCTGAAGATATTCGCATGGTGATCACGGCTTTTTCTTTTCTTTTCTTGTTTTGTTTTCATTCTATTGTTTTTTCCCTTGTGTGTGTTTAACATTATAATTTCATTGCACATTATGTGCAGCTGTGTGTGTTTCTCTTTTGCGTTTCCAATACACCCGGTGTGTCTTGTGTGTTCATTTTTATGGGATGATTCTTTTTTTTCATTATATACAAACTGCTGCAGGGACATCAAGAATAAAGATATGGGCACGGCACGTTCAGTACACAATGATTTTCCGTTGTTAACCTTGGAGTGGATTGGACTGTCTCCAGGCATCGCAGCCACAGTAAGTAATGAATTTCTTTTTTTCCTTTTACATCTTTGCTCTATTATTGTGTCTGCCTCACGCAGTCACTCTTTTTTTTTACATTTTTATTTTGGTATAAAAATTGGTGGGTTGTGGGTGTTTGAGTGTGCCCCTCTGTTGTGTGTTCCTTTGTGTGTTTGGGTTGCTACTCACACCGCCCACGTAATGAAAACACATTTCTTTGTTCTCACCTTCTCTCCCGGTGGTGTCACTCACGGCATTACCACGAACATGTTTGTGCCCTTGTGGTGT